TGGTCCCAGAAGGCGGTTCTAGTCCCAACTTGTCGTTTTTGCTCCCCTGCCTGCTGCCTCAGGACACTACAGGATTTTCTCAAACATGCATGAATGAGTCAAAGTAAGACTCTGGGYATGTTTTTGATGAGAGGATAACATTATAACATGACATAAAACTCAAAAAAGTTGATTTTACATGAAATAGCCCCTTTAACTTCTGTAGCATATTGTTATACAGAGTGGAGCACTCTGCTGAATCTACAATTTAACACAAATTCTTAAATATTATAAGCAGGTATTCCCTCTGATTTATGTATTATTTACAGAGTGTAAACTAATATAAATGTAAGTATTTTTAGGTTTCTGTTAGAGGAACATGACCTGTTAAGAGGATGGTTAGCTAATATCAGTAGAGACAAGTTTCATCCTATAACAGGTATACAGAGAACATTTTCTAACTGTTGACTGGTAAATATTTATTATTATTTATGAYAGTAAGAAAAACAATAAAGTTGACTTTTGAGTATTTAGGTATGTGCCACCTTATTTTGCTGCATGTGCATTAGCAAGTTTGCAAAGGTCAATGGCAAACAGACAAAAAATTAGTTCTTGTCAAATGAACCCAAAGCTGACCCTTTAATCCAGTGCCACATTWAAAGATCACCAGTAGACCACCCTCCCCACCATGAAACATAGTGGTGGCAGCATCATGCTGTGGGGTTGTAAAATGGCAGTAAGCCCAAACGTCTAAATCAAGTAAAGAGTGGCTTTATCTGAAGAAAATAAAAGATTTTGGGTTCTAACCAGAGTCTAGACTCTGATAAATAAAAAAAAAAGTATCAGTGGAGCTGAGCTTTCACAGAGAAGACTGGACACGTTACWRTTTYRGCWGGTGGAATTTTCTCCAGGTGGGGCTACAACTCCAAAATAGTCGTATCCCAAAAAGCAATCAAACATGTACTAAGTTGTATCACGCCAGTGTATTTATGAAACAAACAACAATAATAAAACAGCATTACATCATGTAGTGTTTTATTTTTAGTACATAAATTTTGCTCTTCTGTTACTGAGAAGCAAATTTCTTCATGACTCTGGTTAAA